TAGGAAAAGTGGATTTGACGGTGAAGGAGACGCATAAAAGAGGAAATGTCCCCTTTTATGTGCGTCTCCTCCTCCGTCAAGTTTCAGGTGGCCGCTTGCTCGTTTGCCACCTTATATTATGGGAGAAAAAATAAAAAAACACAAATCTTTCCTCTTTATAATATTAGTATACATGACAGTTACAATGTAAAATCGATATAATGTAGACAAATAAGATTGCTTACAATCTAGAAAATGTCATACTCGTATGTCATTTTCTAGATTATCATTAACTTAACAATAGCGAATAAACTTTGATGGTTGAAACATTGCGGTCGTATAGATCACATGAAACAGAGTAATTGAGCTATATTTAGTTTCTTGTTAATCATATTTACTCGTTTAAAAGATTTTTGCCTTAGACCTATTTAATAGTAAAGGACCTATTACTTAACACATTTAACAGTGGTAGAGCCCGCTTTAACATCTTCGCACGAATAGATCGGGTCGCCCGGTGTAATACCACGACCACACAGAAGACAGGCGTGAAGTGGAAGCAATTCTGCGTTTCTGATGAGTGTGGTACCGGAGGCCCAATTTTAGTCCCTTTCCCTTTCCACCGTTTTCTTATAAAGAAAGAATTGGATGGGAAAATGGATTTGAAGGTGGAGGAGACGCATAGGAAGGGGAAATATACTATTTAAGTGCGTCTCTTATTCTGTCAATTTACGGTGGGTGACGCATCTGCAAGTGCGGATGTTTATGAGCAGCGCTCGCTTCGCCATTTTGTCGGATTTGGTGGCCGCTTGCTCGTTTGCAACCTGCTTGTATAAAAAAATATACTTCGGAGAGCCTAAGCGGTCTAAGCCTATAGTCCTGTGTAAGGTTAAAAGTACTATGTAGTCGCGTTTTTAAATGTTTAGTAGAAATTCTTAGTTAGTACTTTTTTCAGGTCAATATGTACTCCTGCTTACCCCATTCCCGAAATATATTCGATTATATATTTCATTAGAAAAATAATCCCCGTTAATATTGGGAGCGTGTTTGGACGTGCTTATGCGACATCATGTGTCCGATCCGACGTGAAAGGACGTGACAAAATGGATAATCGCTGATACCATCGGAGAGGAACGTGCAATCGATTTAATTATTGGAATTTTTAATTAATACATGGCAATATTTGTTCACTATAGCATAACTACTATTTATACTAACACTAGCTGTTGCCCGCGACTCCGTCTGGGAATTAAAAATAACAAACGTAAGTAGCTTAAGCGTTCTTCCCGATTAAGTTCTACATGTCTGTCAAATTTCATCCAGATCTTTTCAGCAGTTTAGGTTACAAACTCTAACAACCATCTATCTAAACTTTCGCATCTATAATACTAGCTTTCGCCCGCGACTTCATTCGTGTGTAATTTATAACACAAAAGTGAGTAGCCTATGTGTTCTTCCAGTCTATCCTCTACATCTAAGTTATTATTATTATATATTAAATTAAATTTCATTGAAATCCGTTTAACCGTTAAGTGTACTAACTCTAACAAACATCCATCCATTTAAACTTTCGCATTTAATTTATTTAATATTAGTATGATTAATAAACAAGCAAAAAGTAGAACAAAATATTTTTTATGTTCAAAAACTTCATTATTCAATCATCTAATAATCGTTTTCGCTACCGAAAATTAAAATAAACGGCGGACATTAGGAATAGAACAAGAATGAATTAACCAATTATGTTAGAGGATAGCCTGTTTACGACAACTACTAATCGAGTAATTTGTCAACCACTAGATAAGTGAGCCATCCGATGAATAGAGTAATTACAAGAGATCTCATAAGTCATATAACTTAACAATTCTTATAAGAAACTAGCTTTTTTAAGAGATTAACTGTTGCTCGCGACTCCGCTCGTATGAAATTTAAAAAAGTAATAAAATCATATATCACTCACAGACAAATTACCTTTCTAACGGTGAAAGAATTTTTAAAATCGGCCTAGTAGTTCTTGAATTATTTCAATACATACAAAAATATAAATCTTTTCTCTTTATAATATTTGCTATACTAAGAAATATATAGACTAAGCATAGTGAACAAAATTTTTTTACCGGTACTTTCTCTGAAAGGTACTATCTCAGTCGTTAAGTTTAGAGCCACCTCGTGTCTTTGTATCTTACGAATATTATAATTGCAAAAGTTTAGATGGATGTTTGTTAGAGTTTGTAGCCTAAACGGCTGAACGGATTTCAATGAAAATTGGCATAGAGGTAGAGGACAGTCTGGAAGAACACAAAGGCTACTTAGTTTTTTTTTTATTCCACGCGTACGGAGTCGCAGGCAAAAGCCAGTGTGTAATAAAACATTTGACTAAATTATAATCAGCTCCATCTTTTGTTATAAAATAAACTAAACAGTGTATCAAAATAAAATAAAAACAATTAAACATTATTTAATGACATCTATCGGTAATTAATTTAAATAAGTACAAATAATTATATTGACATATGGATTCCAAGCTTTATTAATTAGTTAGTGAGATTATGAGATGAAATTTAATTGGAGTGTCAACTAGGTCTACTCTATAATTTTTTGAATCTCTCTGGATATATCTTAAAACTAACTCTATTCATAGGTGGTAACGGTCAAATGTCGTTTGTCTCGTTCTTAAAAGGACAAATATATGACGTAGACATGCGTGTTATTTACTATTCAGTCAAATTTCACGCATTCGCACGTTTCTACTCTTATTATTAACATGTAAATAGTAATATTGAATTTATTATGTGTTTTCAATATTTTATTCTCACATAAAGTTTGTTTACAACTGTTATAGTAAATTACATAATCAATTTTACGTTCTTTTATGTATTTTATGTGCATTTATGTCTAGAATTAAATAATAAATGTAAAGTAATAAGGAAATACTTTTAAAAGAAAACGTGACTACTTGAATTGAAACTTAGGTTTTGATGTATACTGCCTAGTAACAGTTTAATTGGTTATTAATTTTAGTTGCATACTTAAGAAAACTTCCTTATTTAAATAAACACCATAACTGAGTAAAGGCCTTATCCATTCAGCACTTCAAAGTTGATAAAATATCTGTACATTTTTTTTACACTTGCTAATTATGTATGTGCTTCGTGTATTATTATTATTCTGTTGTTCTATTATTATTATTCCCTTAATCTTTTATTTTACGTTCTGTTTGGATTAAATGAGTTATTATTATTATTTACAAACTGACATCCATCTCATTTTTTTAAAATCTATCTTTTTATTGTAATTAATTCTTTTGTTTTATACTGTTTTCTATAATCTATTTATGCGTGAAACGGTTTATTATTTTAAATTGATTTTAATATATAGAATATTCTGTAATTAAACACGTAGTAAATAGAGTATAGCTAGAGTGTAATCATCATCATCTCTGCTGCCTTATCCTACTCCCGTAGGGTCGGCGCACAGGTTTTTCATCCTCCATATTTGGAGGTTATTACTCTATTATCTTAGTCATCACTCCCTTATTGATCATGACACGTTTCACGCAATACATCCATCTCTTTCTAGGTCCACCTCCACCGGTGTATCCACATTCATAACTAACGTAGTTAGAGTATGAGGTGAATTGTTTTTATGTGTTTTTATTGATATTTCGATATTACATTATTTTTATTATTGCAAATGCATTTTTCTTTTCGCCAATCACTGTAAACGATAGATCGCATATCGATAATCGATATATCTATTGCTGTCGTGATCAGTTAAATATTAGGGAAATTTATTAAAAGCACTAGCTTTCGCCTTCGACTCCATCCGCGTGGAATTAAAAGAAACCAAAGTGAATATCCTATGTGTTCTTCCAGACTATCCTCTACAACTATACCAAATTTCAACAAAATCCGTTCAGCCGTTTAGGCTACAAACTCTAACAAACATCCATCCATCTAAACTTTTATAATAACAGTGTAAAGTATGATATGATTAGTATGATTAAAAGTACCATAGATAAGCAAAAAGTGTTACAGATCAAATATTGGTCTCTGGTTGCGTCACAGTTTTCCTTTCATGTCTCAATGTGTTGTTTTCATGCATATTTATGTAATGTACATACCATTTGTAGTATTTCATCGGACAATATTACGCATGGTATGCGTATGCTATTACAAATCTACTATTAAATTTGATATATCTAATTAGTTATGGCTAGTAGTTAAATTTATGCAGTATTTCTTTGACGAGGTACACACCTGAAATACGATCAGAGATAAAAGAATAAATGTAAATTTGATGGGGAAAATCTCTATGAAACAAGCAGAACGACATCGCTACTATTTTACTTCTTACTAATATTATAAATGCGAAAGTTTAGATAGATGGATGTTGATCTGGATAAAATTTGGCATAGATGTAGTAGAATATAGTGTTGCTTTAGCTTGTGATTCCATTCGCGATGAATTAATAAAAACAAAAGAAAGTCGCCTGTTTTCTTTCAGACAACTCGTTACATCTATGCCGAATTTCATCCAGATTCGTTAAGCCTTTCAGTCTACAAACTCTAACAAACATCCATCCAAACTTTTACATTTATAATATTAATATAGTAAGAAATTAAGAATAAATACTCCAGGTAACGTAAGAAGCTTAATCGAGTTTACCTTGTATTAAGGTTTTGTAAACTAACATCTAAAATAAATTATATCTCTCAGGAAATCGTTCTTATAATATCTAATATACCTTGGCTAAATTGTGTTAAGGTAGTTTACTACATTTTTTTATGTACGAATAAAAATTGATTTGCTTTTCCCATTTAAGTGACGTTCTTAAAAATTTCTCTAAACATCGATGACTACAGATTATAAAACGCGCAACATTTCTCCTTGATAATGAAATCTAATGCAGTAATACTAACGTTGCCGTGAAAAAATGTACGATTCTATCGAAGGCAATGGATTTTTACAACAATAAAATCTATAAAGTGACTGCGCGCACGCATTCAAACCCCGATGATCGTGGCTGCGGTCGTCTCTTGACGACAAAAATAAATTTGTTAACATAGTTTTCTCTAATTAATTATTTTTTAATAAAAATAGTGCATGCTGCGTATAAATTTAATTCAATTCTTTATTAAATAGTTAATGTGTTAAAATAAAAAAATGGACGCCGAAAAGAAAGATTCTGAAGTGAGTGTGGACGATATTTTACAAATATTGGGACCTTTCGGAAGGTTTAATGTTTATAATTATATGTTGATTTTGTTCCCTGTTTTTCTCGCGGGCGTTTACTCTTCGGTTTTTAATTTCGAAGCCATGGATTTAAAATACAGGTGAGTTAGTTATTAAAAAATTTTGTTTGCTATCTCTACGTAACATACAGACGTATTGTTGAACCACCTTTTTTTAGTTATACTGTTCAAATATTATTGATTTATTAGTGTAGAATTTGTAAATTATTTTATTCCAATAAATACAAAAACCCTTTTTGTTTAAATAAATGTTTCCCTCTTAAGGGGATGATTTTCCAAAAAAATTAAGTGATTTCTCACATGTGACATAAAAATGTTAACATAATTTAAACACTCGCGAAAATACTAATTTCGAAATAGATTAGAAATATGTATTTAAACATTAATTTCATAACTTAATTTTAAAATCTTTGTCTGTATTTAGTAACATAAATGCAATTGATATGTTTTGTCATGAAATTCTTGCATATTATCAAATATTACCAAATAAACACACGTTTACATAAATTACGATTATTTTAAACTAGATAGAACTGAAATTATATTTTACTGTGGTTAAGTGGTTTCTGTACACTTTGAGTTATAGTCCGAAGATTTTTCAGGAGTTCTAAATACACACCTTTTAAAAATTGACATTTTTACATTATGGAACTGACTATAATAACATCAAAGGACAAAATGTACATGTTACAAGGAGAACGTTAGTTATGAGTGTGGAAGGGTACATCGGTAGAGGTAGACCTAGGAAGAGATGGATGGATTGTGTAAAAGGTGACATGATCAAAAAGGGAGTGATGACTAAGATGACGTATGATAGAGTTATGTGGAGGACAAAAAACTGTTGCGCCGACCTTACGGGAATAGGATAAGGAGAAAGATGATGATATAATGATATCAAAGAAACCTGCTATTTTCCATCTTAATAACCAATACTTTTAATAAATAAAATTATTATTTACTAGTTACTTGTGGTGTTCCTAGAACTAGGGTTTTAGTTCTTACTAATAATTTCTATAGCTTATATCGAACTAAGCGATTTTATTTTTTAGATTTTGTTACTTTCTCATAAAACTTATTTATTTGCCGTAACCTCGTCAACAAATACTTAGACAAAGCTCAACTTACTGCAACTTAAGCAAGAACTTGATTAGTTTGTTGTGATAATGAATATGTGCATTACAAGTGCACATAATAAATTACTTTGTTGACTAACTTCCATATCTTAAGGTACGTTTCCACTGATGTACACACACAATTGAACACATGATTAAATAATATAACAGTGGTTGAATCAATGAAACTACGTTATACAGGATGTTTACAGACGGATCAACGCTTTTGTACAGGTAGAGGACCTTTACATTTTCATGTAAAAAGAACGATTTGAAATAGTCGAGGGCGACAATATCTTGTAACTTTAATATCATATGAGAATCAAATTTTTCGAAGAAGTCAAAAACCTAATTATTAGGCTTGTCAAAGTAACACTGTAAACACATTTTGGACGTACGGGCAAATTTTAATCGAAAATCTGATTTCGATTTCTTTACAAAAAAATTCAATATTACTTTAAAACTATAGAAAGTCGGGCAACATATTTTGTATATTTTTGATCCGTCCGTTATGAAACACCCTGTATAAAACAGCTGAATTATTTCAATTTATTGTTATTACAATACATTACAATATGTTCCGCATACGCGTTAATTATGCTAAGAATGCGAACGCAAAACGTATAATGTTGCCAGGTCTTTATATGAGTTAATATTCATTTAAAAATAAACCTATACTTTACATAGACTTGGCACTTAATAATGTAAAAGTGATGAGACCTTTCTTTGAAGCAATACTTGTAAAAGAGAACAATTGTTGAACCCCGAAAATTTTAGTACCATCTTTAACAGTGGTAGAGCTCGCTATAAAGTCTTTTGCATAATAGACCGGCTTGCCCGGTACAATACCACGACCACACAAAACATGCGGCAAGGGGAAGTCATTCGTACAATCTGAAGAGTATGAGTGCCGAAGGCCTTATTTAATCCTTCCCTTACAAGAAAAGGAAGAGAAGGGGAAGTGAAAGAGAAGTGGATCAGTGGAGATATTCTCCTAATCATCTCCTCCTCTGTTGATTAAAGCAACGCATCTACAAGTGCAGATGCTTATGGACAACAGCTTCACCACTTTTGCGAATTTTTAAGGCTTCCTCGTTTGTCACTTGTTACATACTGTCATCCTTTTCCTTCACTATGACAATAATAGAGAGATACAAGTGTCGGTGCAAGCACAGAGAAAAATAAATACAATGGATTAAAGATTTTACAAGACATTGTCGTCAAGGTAATAATAGTTCGTGCGTAAAAACACGTTGACCACTTTTTATTGACCTAAAGCCTATAGAAATACATGTTTATTAGAAGTACCAATTTGTCATAATAACCCAAACTAAATCTGCCAAAATAAGAAAATGTAATGTGTTAAAAAGGTGTTAATGAAAATACTAAAATATCAAATACATTCGAATGACCTCTGGAGTTACAATTTGTACGTATTTAGATAGTTCAAGGTCAAATATTCAGGGAAACCGTTAGATTGTTTATGAAAAAAATAAACACGATTACTCCATTCCATCAATGCCATTGTATTAACTCTTATTTACATACTTTTTATATACATAAATAGATGGATAAGATTTACTTGTGAAGATTTTAGGGTTCCCTTTATAATGCTTTTTCTATACTAATATTGTAAATAGAAAAACTTTGATTGTAATGAATAGGCTCAATAACTACTGGGCCGATTTTAAAAATTCTTTCATCGTTAGAAAGGTAATTTTTCTATGAGTAACATAGGCTATATTTTTTTATAATTGCACGCGGACGGACTCGCGGGCGAGAGTTAGCTACTGTTCCTAAACCTTTGCGGTTTTCATTTGATTTAAAAATTTCAAATGTCTATTTCCAGATGTGCCATACCAGAATGTGACGATACCACTGCCGTATCCAACTACACGATACCGCATCACGATGATGGGACATACGCGAAGTGCGTGCGATACGCGCCTTTCGCTAATGTCAGCAACTTCGTTAACAACAGCATAGGACGATGTTCACCGCATTATTTCGATACTTCCACTGAAATAGAATGCGAGTCCTATGTCTACTTGGAGGAGCATTCCATTGTTAAAGAGGTTAGTGCCTTATATATTAAAAAAAAACTGCATACTAGTATTTTTAGATAATAACAGTGGAACGTAAACTTGTGTTATAAAATTATAAATGCGAAAGTTTAGATGGATGGATGTTTGTTAGAGTCTGTAGCTTAAACTACTGAACGAATTATGATTCAGGAAGAACACCTTATCCGCTTATTTTTGTTTTTTAAATTCCACGCGGAAGAAGTCACGGGCAAAAGCTAGTCCTTATATATATGAGCACTAAATTGAATGAAATATCTATAGAACGATCAAGTTATCTGACTCGGTGAGTAGTAAAACTAAATTGTAAAAGCTTTTCGCTGCCTGTTAAAGTCAAAAAAAATTCACGAGACATTTATTGTACTATTTCTTGTCATGTTTTGTCATTTTCTATGCTTAAGAGGTTTTTACATATTTGCTGATAGAATTAAACGCGATATCAATACCTTTTATACAGGCCACATAAGCCTTCTCAGATAAATTCACAGTTTGTAATTTCTTACACGTCATTTTTGCAATTTAGATTTGCTATCTACAGTGTTAAACTGTTTATCCTATTTTGTGTACTTTTTGTATTATGGGCTAGTAACGGTACAAGCGACAGCAAAGGTCTATAACCCTGGTACTGAATTTATACATTTGACCAATGCATTAGTCAATCACAAATGATTTTGTCCTTGTCACTGCTGCGGATTGCTGCAACAGTTCCCTTCAAATATTTCATCATTGCTTAGCTATGCTAGTATGCTTTCCGGTAAATATACACTTGCCTCGAACTGTGGCTTTCCTCTACCGAACACCCTGTACAATCATACTAATATATAAATGGGAAAGTTTAGATAGATGTTTGTTAGAGTTTGGAGTCTAAACGGCTGAACGGATTTCAATTTAATTTGGTATAGATGTAGAAGATAGTCTGGAAAAACACATAGGCTACTCACTTTCGTTTTTTTTTAATTCTACGCGGAGTCGCGGGCGAAAGCTAGTATAGATTTTTTTTTTAATATTGGTAATTTTTGTTAATTTACTAATATTTCCTTTAACCATTCAAACTAAGCTTTAGGCTTGTGCTAGGATATGGTTCACGACAATAGTCGAATGGTGGAATTCGAACCCTCGACCGCAAGATCGGTAGTCCGTACCCCGAACCATTAGGCTATTCGCTTAATTGTCAAAGGACATTAAAATATAATTATCCTTATAAAAATAGAATTATCAATGATTCGCAATTAAAAAACAAATTACCGATACATTATTGTAAAACAATTCACAGACAATTTGTACTGGTAACACTGAAAGCGTTCTCGCAAATTATTTACCTTCACACTTTGACTTTTAAGAGACAGGATCTGTTCAGTGCACGCACTTCTCTCTGTGCTAAACAAACAATGAGTTCTAAAATTTCTTGGTTGTGTTTTAATTTTATACAGTTCTAATTATTGAGTCAAGATGTGTTAATTAAGATTTATTTAGTAATTTACTTCGTTTTATATCGGCTACATGCTTAGTCCGTTTCTCTATAATCAAAGTCTTCACACGTTCGAACAAACAAGAGTCGTTGAGCGTTAACGATACCCAAATACAATTAATATCGTATTAAATTAACGAGAAATCGAAATTTACCTTCCTTTATTTAAATACTTTATCTGAAAACTTTTATTGTATTTATTATAATGGATAATTCAACCTTGGGTAGAGAATGAGGTTATTTTTGTTAATTCAATACGTATATAAAATCTTTATGATAGTAAAATTTCTGAATAATATAATGCAATCAAATATCTGTTTAATATACATCATTGTTATTACAATAGTATTAATAGTATAGTTCATAGCTTCTGTTATAATAATACGTGCTCAAAATGCCCTCTATATTTCATAATCTGTCTATCACATCACGAACATCCCTCGACTTACACTAGTCACGTTTGATAGTTTTGAAAACGTATCTATACTATCTATACTAGTCTATATCTATACTAGTCTATACTAGTAGTATAATAAAGCGTAAACATACACTTCTTTGTTGCCTAAGATGTCAGCAATTACAGCATATTTTTGAATAATTCTTTCTTTAATAAACAGCCCTACATTTAAGACACGCTTTAGGCTATATATTTTCACGCCATTATACTTAGGGGGTAAACATTTTGGATAAAAACCCTAATGTGGGAAAGGGACCATAAACAACAAGCTGCCAACATTAAGGAAACAATATTGCCATGGTTTGTCATCATGTCATGTCATTTTGACATTTGCAATTGATAATTCAACACAAGTTAAGAATAAAATAAAATTTTCATAATTTTATGCAAAAGTCGCACGGAAACAGTTAGTAATTACATAAAAATCAAATGTTTACACATGCGATCATCTTATCTGACCCGGTAAGCGCTGCTGTCGCGGTTTAATACTATCAGTAAATATAGCACTAGTAAAGTTTTGTATTATCTGTGGGTAAAACGTAGAAAATAGGAAAAGATAACTTGACAGCTATAGTATGCATCTTCTTATTTTTTTTGTATTTATGTCCGTAAATACCCGTGAAAAGGATTTGTGACACTTTTTGGTGACGCTAGTGAGCTATATTAGTATTAATGCCCACCGGGTCAGTTAACTTCGTAGTTCTATACGCTTGCGTTTTGTATGCAATTTGTCAAATTAGCAAAATTCTAGTCCCAATCGTGTTGATAATAAAGTCATTATTATAGTAAGGTCGAATGTATTATAAAAGATAATTTGTACATATAAATGTAGGGAACGCTCGCTTGCTTGAGTTAATGGTTCGAAATTGTGACTGTTAGCAATTTGTTCGTAATTAAGACCTTTTGTGATGCATTCTGCTGTATAAATTTTGTTTACGGAAAATAGGGGATTCGAATACCTGAAAATGTGCTCTAACAAAACCGTCAAAACTCTCGTGAGGCATAATTAACAATTTCATTAAATTATATTAAATTAAAAGCCAAAAATAAATGAGAAAAGTACGAGAAACAATTCACAATTTAAGAGTTTAAACATACTTTAGTTGTTTTAATAAATTTATAACAAATAATGGTTACTGATTATTTTCATTTGAAGTCCAGAAAACCTACACAATTATGAAAATCCATTGAATTACTATCAAATAGCTTATATCGTAAGTAAATCAACATCAATTGAGTTCACAGTCGTTCGGAGCGAAGCCAAAAATCTCATCAGATCACTCACACGAACTGAATCCTATCTGCGTTGGAACTGATTTTTTACACGAGGATAGAACACTGGCATAGAGCTGTGAGCAGTGCAGTACTACTCTTTTCATAGTCAATAGAAAACCCGTAAACAAATTCACGTTCGATAAGTAACATCGATAAAATGTGTCGAAACACTCAGAAAAAAATCGTGAAAACTCGTGACATATCGAAAGCTATTCCATAAGTTTTAGACTATTCGATTGACAATAAAATGATTCACAATTCCTCTTTGGTGTACTTTCATAGCAGTACTGCAATCAACCGCTATATAAGTTCTGTCTTCGTGTGAAACTAGAGTTGTTCTGTGTTGTCGACACTCATTACTTACCGATAGGTGCTCTGTGTCAGGCCCTATCAAGTTGCATTGGCAATGATTTGCATCACATCTCCTGTATTACATTTCATACTATGTTACAGGTTTTTTCCATGTTTCTTCATAGAATACAAAGTTTCCATTGAGTTTAGTTTCATAACAAACTACCCTAAGATTGACAATTAACACATCATCTAAAAAGATTAAAAAACTGTCTAAGTATTTGAAGATAACTTTACTGTCTTGTAACAATACGACTTATCGTGCGATGTTGAAAAATTTTTAATTGATTTCACGAATGAACTTGGCGTTCGCATATGCACATTCGATGTCGAAATTGCATTGTCTAAATTAGACCCTGTTGCCACTAGCGCAGCCACGCGACTAGCCGACAGTTTCTATAATTCGATAATAAAAGCTTTCGCCCGCGGCTCCGTCCGTATGGAATTAAAATAAAAACAAAAGCAAGCCTATGTGTTCTTCTAGACTATCCTCTGCATCTATGCCAAATTTCATCAAGATTCGTTCAGCAGTTTGGGCTACAAACTCTAACAAACATCCATCTAAACTTTCGCATTTATAATATTAGTGAGATTTCTACCATTCTCAACTGTCAATACTGCCATTAGTCGCCTAGTGGAAACTGGTACTTCGAGCTGGGGTACAAATGCAATGTGTAATCCATTGTGGCTAGACTGCTTTAAGCCTCATAACTCAATAGGTCTCGTTTTCAATACATCATTCAATGAAAAGCCCTAACTTTGCATTCTGTTAGCAATTTTATTGATATCAATAGCGTGGGTGAACGAATTTTTTTAATAACGGACGCTCAATTTCGATACGATCACAATGGCTTTTGGTACTATTGGTATGCAAGTGATTTTCGATGGATTCATAATAGTTAGTTAGTTATTAAAATTTATACATTTACGTCATAGACAAATATTAAAAGTACAGAATCGTAATCGTGAATTTTCCTCGAATTTCTTTGATATTTCAATGTTTATTCTAGCATTAACTACATTTTTAAGGTTAAATTAATCGGCCTTCGTTAATCCATTTTCATTTTTTTTTTCTTTATAAATGTCGTTAACTAGCTGTTGCTCGCAACTTCGCCTGTGTGATATATGCCTTTGTTACTCACAGATAGATTACCTTTTTAACAGTGAAAGAATTTTTAAAAACGGCCCAGTAGTTTTTGAGTTATTTCAATACATACAAAAATACAAATCTTTCCTCTTTATATTATAGTATAGATAATTTCAGTTTAGTTTATGTAATGTTTTATGAAACGTAAAAAGTCAATCTGACGCAGCTGGTCTTACTGTAGCCAAATCTAAATACCATCTAAAATTGTGATTTACTACGCTAACTCATATGTGCGTGAGTCACACTATACGCAAATTTTCATTCGTTTGTAATGAGTAAAATCTAATTTACCAATACTTCTGAATTTCTTGCCATTAAAGATAAAAAAAATGTCAAGTTTATTCCGACTATAGGAGCAATAAAAGAATACAGAAAGTGATAGAGCAGATTCACAAATTAAGATTTTTTGTATCTTAGTATTTATCTACCTTCACTATAGAGAGACTAGCTTTAACCCGCGACTCCGTTCGCATGGAATTTTAAAAAAAACTAATGTAAGTAGCCTATGTATTCTTCCAGGCTGTTCTCTACAACTATGCCTAATTTTATTGACATCTAACATCCATCCATCTAAACTTTCGCATTATATTAGATAGATTTGTAATTTTGTATGTAACGAATAAAATAAAAAAAACTGGACTACATTATTCCTTAGTAATAGGTTATTACCTATAATTAGATTTTTTTTAATTCCCCGTAGACGAAAATCACGGCAAATAGTACTAATGTAATATTTGTAGTGTGCTTAATTCCAGCAGTTTAACAATGAATAGGAAATCAAACTTTCTAGCATGTATACATAACATATTATAGTTATTTAAAAATCAACATCCATTTCATATTACAATGCAAAAGAAAAAGAAAACGAAGCGACCATTACCAAGCAGAGTTTATTTTGGCGAATTTTCAACTCCTGTTTGTCTCATTATAAATTCAACGAAGATGCGAGGGGAAGCCATTTTGTATTTTTTAAGGTTTTATTTCCTTTAGTCTCTCTTCTCCGAAACAAATATGTGTACTTTTTGATCATTTCTTATTCATAAAGATTAGTTCAAATATGTTGCCAGAATACTATATATATTTTTAGTTAGTTACTTATTTTAATGAGACGTTGGAAACCAAGTAAGAAAATCATTGCCATAAATGGACAGAAGAAGGTTCCCTTTTCCATCTACAAAAATCTTTGTAAACTCTTTTGAACACGGTAATATATCTTTACTTCATAAAAATATGTGTTTTTTTTCCAGTTCAATCTCGCCTGCCAGGATTGGAAGCGATCACTCGTCGGTACCGTTCACAACGCTGGCTTCTTCCTGTCTATACCGCTGACAGGTCTCATATCCGACAAGTATGGCCGTCGGCTTGCGCTGGTCTTCGCTTGCGTGACTAGCGGCATCTTTGGTGTGATCAGAGCGTTCTCATTGAACTACAACATGTTTATTGTACTCGAGTTTTTGGAGCCCGCGTTCGGAGGTGGCATTTATACAGCGTGTTTTGTCTTGGGTAAGTTAAGTTGCATTTAAATTTTAAATTAAGAATGATTAAACATATCACAAAAATAAATGCAAACAGAAGTTTACTATAAAAATGAAAGAATAACCTTTTTATATTTCTTACACATGACAACTTTTCAATTCTTTAACCTATTTGTATCTTTGTACTTACTTCTAAGTCCAATAAATTATGTTTGCCCTCTATCTATAAATCGCTTACATGTCTCGAAATAACTATTCATAAAAGCAAATAAGTTAAATTTAATCTTACATCCTAGCTTTTCCGCGCAGTTCTACTCGATTGTCATCTTTAAAGATCAACTTCTATACAATGTAATAAAAGAATTGATACATGAAGTAATAAATAAATTTACAGAAAAAAATATTAGTCGCATAATTACCGTATATTTAACTATGATTTTCACCAACAAAATGTACCCAAGACGAGTCGGTACTGCATACACAAAGGTATAGGAAGACTGAAGATAATATGGATAGATTGTGTGAAAGAGGATATGCTTATGCGCAGTGCTGTAGGACAAGGGCAAGCTGATGATGAGGTATTGCTTGTGTTACAGCGTTACAGTTTTTACAGTGGTAGAGTCCGCTTTAACATCTTCGCACTGTAGGGCCCGCTCGCCCGGTGTAATCCACGACCACACAGAAAACAGACGTGAAGCGGAAGAAATTCCGCGTTTCGTCTGATGAGTGTGGTGCCGGAGGCCTAATTTTAGTCCCTTTCCATTTCCACCCTTTTCTTAAGAAAAAATGATGGGAAGGAAAAGTGGATTTGACGGTGGAGGAGACGCATAGGAAGGGGAAATTTCCTCTTTATGTGGGTCTCCTCCTCCGTCAATGAAGGGTAGGCAACGCATCTGCAATTGCGGATGTTTATGGGCAGCGGTCGCCGTCCATTTCGGTGGATTTAGGTGGCCGCTTGCTCGTTTGCCACCTTATATTGTAAAAAAAAAACAGTATAGTTTTATTAAATTTATTTGAAGTATGTACAAAGGTCAGTGTTTACGGAACTCTATATCGTTAGAGACCGGTAGGAACGTGTTTACTTCCTGGTCATATGATTGATTAGTTAAAATAACTCGCTAAGTTTTATCTCATACTTGTAATAACTGATTTAAGTAAAAAAATTAATTGTCTGAAAGGCCGAAGCTACAGCTCTATAGATTTGAAAATTATTTTATACTAGCTGTCGCTCGTGACTTCGCCGGCGTGAAAAAAAGGAGTTAAAACATCGCCTATGTTACTCAGTAATAACTTAATAGTTTTTGAATTCAGTTCAGTAGTTTTTGAGTTATTTCTATACATACAAAAATACAAATCTTTCCTCTTTATAATATTAGTAAAGATATAGGTGGAATTACAAAAATGGATCGATCGTCGAATTGCTATTATAGTCACAAGATCATTTAAAAGTATTCATATAGTTAATATGACCATAGATTAACAAAAAAAACTTTGGCTGTAAGTGAAAATATCTTTAAACCGCTTTCATTTGTTTAAAAACAAAACAAAATCGACACGCTTCAGATAATCCGTAATTTTATCGTCAATTACACTTTTTACCATCGTTTTATTCAACCGTATTAAATGAGGTCACGAAAAAGTTTAATACGTATAAATATAGTTTCACTAATTGAACATTCCTTCAACTTTTTGTCTATTTTTTTATTTAAATTGCCTAATTTTATTTAGAATGTTTTTTTTTTACTCCATATACAAGTTATTTATGGTCGGAAAGGTTAGAGGTACCTATAATTGTTCAATTGCATTTACAATATTAAGTACTAGCTTTCGTTCGCTTTTCCGTCCGCGTGGAATTAGAAAAAAACAAAAGTAAGTAGCCTATGTGTTCTTCCAGACTATGCTCTACATCTATGCCAAATTTAATCGAGATCCGTACATCACTTTAAACTACAAACTCTAATAAAGATCCATCCAACCAAACTTTCACATTTATAAAATTAGTAAGAAGTAAGATATTAATTCTAGATAATGATAGAATATTTCCTATGTAACTATTAATAAAAAAACAATGAATTACTAAAAATCAACGTTAGCTATATAAGTTGTTTTATACTAATTCGCCCTTTAACCTTAATAAAAAAAAACATAACAAATTATCGTATTTAACTACACGTCTATTGGCATCATCTTTGATTTCACCTTTAACGCCTCAACAGTTCCTTGTGACTAATTAAATGTTTTCGTTGAATGATCACTTCCGCTATATTTGTTTTACGTTCCTGACTTCACAATGACGGATCCGTCGCATTTCCGGTAGACACTATAACATTATAAGTAAGCTTCCCCCCCTCCCCCCGTGTAAATATAAAAAAACAAAAGCATGTAGCCTGTATGTTCTTCCTGACTATGTTATACACTTATGTCCAATTGCATACAGATCCATTCAGCCGTTTAGGCTACAAACACTGACAACCATCTATCTATCTAAACTTTCGCATTTATTATTTTAGTATGATTAGTATGGTGTAAGGGGTACACAGACCATAAACTTCTATTTGGCGATAACTCTCGCATCTTCTACATTCATTCTTCTACTCTACTTCTGTTCTTGATATCGCTTTTCTTGAGTATTTCATTAATCTGTACCCGGTAATCGGACAGTTTAGTCTTTAGACCTTAGTAATGCATTTTTTTATAATTTTCATAACCCTTAAACAAACAAGAACTATTATCATACTAATATTATAAATGCGAATGTTTAGATGGATGGATGGCTGTTTGTTAGATTGTAGTCTAAACGGCTCAACGGATTTCGATGAAATTTGGTATAGATGTAGAGGATAGTCTGGAAGAACATATAGGCTACTCACTTTTTTTAATACCACGCCGACGGAGTCGCGGGCAAAAGCTGTCTGGCAAAAGTTCTTCTATAAATTCTAAAATGTAATTAGTAACTAGAGGTTTAAGAAATCATATCTGTTTTCATTGTATTATTCTTGACCATACCCCGTACTGCTAAGTTTCGGAAACTTTCTACAACTTGCCCACTAAATTTACTTCGCACAAGTTACATTCAGAAAGGCGGGTTACATTTTCCTCCGCAACATTACTTAACGTCTATTTATGTTACAACTTTGTCCAACTAAACGTGGTAAAGAATACTGTTAGTAATACAGTTTGTATAACGTATTGATAGAAATTTGGTGCATTTCTAACATATATATTTTCTTTAGAAAAGTTGAGAAAATACGGTCATTTTGATGTACATTTACTTCAAACTATCATTAGTTATAATGGTTGAAGACCTTTCGTTTATCTTCTTGAGATAAAATTAACACACTCAATTTAAAAACAAAAGATACTTCAATAATATTACACAAATGTCAAATTTATGTGGAGTGACGCTGATCATATAAACAAGGAAGGATCAAGATTAAATGTGGATGGCTTCAAAGGTAGAGGAAGACCGAAGAAAGTATAGATTGTGTGAAAGAGGATAACTAGAATGGTGTGCGAGTTATGACAGCTCAATGAGATGTATGGAAGAGAAGTACTATGTCAAAACTCCAGAATAGGGCAGGTTGAATGAATTGTTTTCGAAGAAGTCATCGTATAATCAATAAATTTGTTTTTTTTTAGCATTGGAACTAGTTGGACCAAAAGGCCGAGTGTTCATCAGTCTACTCTTCAATACAATGTTCATCCTCGGCGGAGTGACAGTCACCTTGCTGTTCTGGTGGCTGCAGAACTGGAGACATCTTCTTCTGATCATTTATACTCCAGCCATCTTCGTCTTCGTATACATGTGGATGTTGACAGAAAGTTTCCGATGGTTCTTCAGCAAAGGTCGTTACGAAGAAGGTTTGAATACATTAATAAGATCGGAGAAAATGAACAATGTGACGGTCCCAAAAGACCATTACAGCCAAGTGGAAAAGCACGCGATGCAACAAAGAGAAGCAAAGAAATTCGAAAGCAGAGAAATCAATCAATCTTCTTTTAGTCAAATTTTATCTTCAGCCATGATTTGGAAGAGAGTTTTTATTTGTTCTTTTCTATGGACATCTTCTACTTTAGTATACTACGGACTTTCTATTAATGCTATAGAGTTATCTGGGAATAGTTATTTGAACTATATCGTTGTTATAATAATAGAAGCGCCAGCAAACGTCTGTAAGTTAATATTCTTAGACAGATTTGGAAGGAAGAGAGTCATTGCCATCGCTTATATTTTAACTGGATTGATTTTAATTAACTATGGATTTCTTCCAGGTTAGTAAAGTTTTATAACATATTTGTACATACGTACTAGCTATTACTCGCGACTTCGCATGCGTAAAATTAAAAAATTAGAATACAGCCTATTTTACTCACTGATAACGTAGCTTTTAAATGGTGAACTCGGTACAGTAGTTTTTGAGTTATTTCAATACATGTAAAAAAATGCAAAAATACAATACTTTCCTCTTTATCTTACTAAAGATATTATAAATTAATATTTGCCTATCTAGACTTTTACACTTCATTTTATAAATAGTAAAGTTTATATTTTTTTATGTCACGAATCTCAAAAACAACATAACCGATTTCAAAAATTATATTGCAATTTGTCACTACATTGTCATTAAGTAAGATTGGCTATACTGATTATAGAATTTTCATTAAGCAAAAGCAAGGTAGTTCTAAACACAAGTAATACGCCTATAAGTTAATTATGCTAATTACTTAAGTTATAATCTACTATATCGTAGTTGTGGTATATAATTATTATATTTAACTAGCTGTTCTCGCGCGGCTTCATCCGCATGAAATTATGAAAGTTTTATTTCATTGTTTACATTTGTCAAATTATCAATAGCAAATGTCAAAATGACATTACATGACTAACCTTGGCAATCTTTCTTTCTTGATATTGGCAGCAACTTACAGTCTCTTTCCCACATTAGAGTTTTTATCCAAAATATTTACCCCCTAAGTTTAATGGCGTGAAAATATATAGCCTAAA